TCATTAAAATTATTAAAATAAAATTTAAAAAGAAAGAAAGAAAGGGGTATACTGCTTCAGTGGAAATGAGGAGAAACTAGAGACTGAAAACTAAGGTACACGCCCAGACAAAATGTTGTTCTTGTTGTTGTTGTTATGTGCCATCTAGTCACCTATGACCCCGTCACCCTATGTACAACAGCTCTGAAGCCTGCCCTGTCCTGAGCCTGTCTCAGTAATTCCGACACACCTATCCCATTGCTCCAGTTACTGTATCAATCCATCTCTTCCAGAGTCTTCCTTTCCTGCTCTGTCTCTCACCCTTCTGAACATGATTTCCTTCTCCAAGGATCTATCACTTCTGGCCATGTGCCCAAAGTATGTGAGTCAGAGCTTCAAAATCCTATCATCAAAGGAGAAACTTGGTTTCACTCTCTCCAAGACAGACCTATTTGTTTTCATGGTTGTCCATGGTATGCTCAAGACTCTTCTCTAGCACCACAACTAGAAGGCAACAATTCTTCTTCTGTGAAAACACATAATATAGGTGGCCCAGTGGTAAAAGGCCATATAATTAATGTTATAAAACATTGAAGAATGTGCTGCCAGTGTGCTACTTAGAGGCAAGGATGATAGAACTTTTTAGCATATTCTTTGAGCTTGTTGCTAGGAGAGGCTATTTCATGGAAAGGGACATCATGCTTAGCAAGATGGAGGGGTGGCAAAAGAGGGGGAGACCCTCAATCTGGGGAATTTACACAGTGACCACAGCAATGGGCTCAAGTGTGTCAGAGATTGTGAGGACGTCACAGAAGAGGACAGGGTTCAGATCTGTTGTTCATAGGGCCACCATGAGTCATACTCGACTTGAAGGCACCTAACAACAATAACAAGTGGTAAGAAGCTCCCCTACACTCCCAAAGGCGCACAGCTCAAACCACCGGCTGCTCACTGTGGGAGAAGGAGGGACAGTCTTCTCTCGTGTGATTTACTGCTTCTGAAAACTCACTGGCGGGTCAGCTCTGGGTTCTGACTTGGTGACACACAACAACAACAACAACAACAGCAACAGTTATTAAATACTGACAAGTGTCCCTGGGTGGTTTAAATGGTTAACACAGGCCATTGCCAACCAAAAGGATGGAGGCTCAAATCCACCGAGAGGTGCCATAGGAGACAGGCCTGGTAATCTTCTTCTGAAACATTACAGTCATTGAAAGCCTTATATAACAGTTCTATACAGCCCCATGAGGGGTTACCATGGCAACTGGTTTGTGGTTTGTTTTTTTTTGGTTGTGTTTTTTTTTAAGACTCTGACTTCTCCTCAATACATGCTCATACATATTCATTACAGTTAAGTCAGCACTGACTCATTACTGACTCTCCAGTGGGTCTTCAGGTGAAGTAAATCACACAACAGGAGACTGTCCATCTTTCTCCCCTGGAGGACCTGTCTTTGGGTTGGCAGTACAGCTCCTAACACACTAGACCACCAGAGCTCTCTATAACATCTCTCATTTTCTATGTATGTATACATGTATCCATCCAAGTATCTGTACTAGTTATTTTGTGTTGGCTGGGGAGATACCAAGAATATCTTTCATGAAGAATACAAAAGTTCATCACCATGAAGGAAGAAGAAGAAAATATCAAAATGGATGTCAGAAGAGAGTCTGAATATTTCATTATAGCACTGAAACCCCAAAGCAAAGGGAAGATATCAAGAAGTTAAGGAGCTGAATAGAAGTTTCAAAGGGCAGCCCACGAATATAGGGCAAAATATTATAATGAAATGGGAAAGGACCTAGAGTCAGAAAATCAAAAGGGGCAAACTCATTCAGCATTTCTTAAGCTGAAGGAATTAAAGAGCAAATTCAAGCCACAAGTTATAATGCTTAAGGATGCTATGGGCAGAATATTGAACGATTCAGAAAGCATTAAAATAAGATGGAAGGTATACAGAGGCACTGTACCAAAAAGAATTGGCCGACACAGAAGAATTTCCAGAAACAACATATGATCAAGAGGCAATGGTGATGAAAGCGAAGTTCAATCTGCTCTGAAGGACTTGGAAAAAAATAAAGCCACAGGAATATATGGAATACCAATTGACATATTTCAACAAACAGATACTGTCCTGGATGTGCTCACCAGGTTGTGCCAAGAAATCTGGAGGACAGCTACCCAAACAACTGACTGGAAGAGATCCATACTTATTCCCATTCCAAAAAAAGGTGACCAGACAGAGTGTGGAAATTATTGAACAGTATCACACACTAGCAAAATCCTGCTGAAGATTATCCAGAAAAGACTTGAACAGTAGTACATTGACAGAGAACTCCAGAAATACAATCTGAGTTTAGAAGAGGTTGTGGCACCAGCGACATTATTGCCAATGTCAGATGGATTTTGGCAGAAAACAAAGAGTCCCAAAGGACTGTCTATCTGTGCTGTGTGGATCACAACAAATTGTGGCCAACTTGAGGATAATGGGAATCTCAGAACACTTCATTGTGCTTATGTAAAACTTATAATTGGACCCAAAGGCAGTCCTCAGAACAGAGCAGGGAAACACTGCCAATTAGGAAAGGAATGTGTCAGGGATACATCTTGCCTCCATACCTTTTCAATCTATATGCAGAACAGATCATTTGGGAAGCAGGGCTTTATGAGGAGGAATTAGGCATCAGAATTGGAGAAAAACTCAATAGGCAGGTGCTTACTGAAACTGAAGAGGACCTGAAGTGCTTGCAGCTTATAGTCAAGGACTATAATCTTCAATATGGGTTGAAGCTCAACATGAAGAGGAGAAAGATTCCCACCACTGGGTCAATTGGCAGCACCATGGAGAGGAGATTGAGGTTGTTAACAATTACAACTTGCTTGGCTCCACAATCAACACTCTTAACAGCCAGCAGCTAGGAAATCAAAAGACAAATTGCACTGAGCATGTCTGCTGTCAGGAACCTCTCCAGAATATTGAGAAGCAATGGTATCAGTCTAGAGACTAAGGTGCACCTAGTCCAATCCATGGTCTTTGCAATTACTTGCTGTGCATCAGAGAGCTTGATAATGACTAAAGATGACAGAAGAATTGATGCCTTACAGTTATGGTGCTGGAGAAGAGTTTTAAACTACCATAGACTGCAAAGAAAACAATCAGGTCTGTCTTGGAGAGGGTGAAACCAAGTTTCTCCTTGGAGGCTAGGATTTTAAGCTCCATCTCACATATTTTGAGCATGTGGCCAGGAGAGAATGGTCCTTGGAGAAAGACATCATGCTTGGAAGGATGGAGGGACAGTGCAGGAGAGGAAGACCCCAGATAAGATGCATTGATATAGTAACTGGGGCAGAATTAGTATATATAGTAAAATATATGTATATATCTAACTAAAGAAAATATAGTAACTGTGTCAGAATTAGTGAGACTGGCTCAGGACAGGGCAGGGTTCAGGGCTGCTGTATGTAGAGTCGCTGATGGGTTGCAGGCAACTTGATGGCACATAAAAACAACAACAGGGACAGTGCAAGAGAGGAAGACCCTAGATGAGATGGATTGACACAATAACTGGTGTAATGAGGGTAGGTGTGTCAGAGACATGAAATTGACCCAGGACAGAGCAGGGTTCAAATCTATTGTGCATGGGGCCACTATGAGTCACAAGCAACTCACATAACAATAACAACAACAACAACAACAACAGTGCTCTATCAACACACTTGAACCCAGCAGTCAGGAAATCAAAAGATAAATTGCATTAGGAAAATTTGCTGTCAGGGACCTCAGTACTGGAGTACTGAAGAGCAATGATGTCAGAGTAGAGACTAAGGTGTGCCTGATCCAAGCAGTGGTCTTCGTAATTACTTGCTATGCATCAGAGAGCTGGACTCTGATTCAGAATGATAGAAGAAGGATGGATGCCTTTGAGTTGTTGTGCTGGAGAAGAGTATTGAACATATCATGGATTGTCAAGAGAATAAGCAGGACTTTTTTGGAGAGCATGAAACCAGGGGGCTTCTTGGAGGCAAGGATTCTGAGGTTCCAGTTAGCATACTCTGGCCATGTAGCTAGGGTGGACCAGTCCTTGGAGACAGATATCATGCTTGGAAGGTGGGGGAACAACACAGGAGAGGAAGACCTTGGATGAGATGGATTGACACAGTGACTCTGGCAATGGGGGCAGGTGAGTCAGAGTCAGTGAGCCTGGCTGAGGATAGTCACTACGAGTCACAGGCAACTTGACGGCAGATAACAACAACAATAAACTCTCTACAACTTCACATTGAAACATAAACTAGTAGCATGGTTTCAATGCTGCTTCCAGCAAAGGAAGCCAGGACAAGTTCCAAGGAAACGAGTTCTCATATTGTCCTCCCAACATGGCCTTTCAGGGAGGAAGTTGAGAAGGTCATACTTTTTATGTGAGTTAAGAAATCTTGAAGGTAGATATTTTCTTTCTAGGGTTGAATGTGGTTCTTACAACACTTGCTACATATTCACCAGTGAGTCTCATTAAACCTGCTCAATTACAGGTGCCATCAGACCAAGAGTAAGCAGAGAAGGGTCCGAAAAATTGCACCTTCCCCAAGTTCCTAATGGAACAGTAGTGCTATGTACTGAGGTCTGAGGTCCATGGCTCTCGAAACAGAAAGTTCACAAGACCTCTTTTCATGTCAGTGGTAAATGTCTCCACACAAGCTCCTGTGTGGACTTCCTTTGCAACAGGGCACAGCCCCGGTCACAAGCTGACTGTCTGACTTTGTTGGAGAAGGAAGGATACTGCAGACAGAGGCCACGTGATTGTGGGACTTCATCAACCGACCCATTCATTCAGCAAACACACTGTACAGAGTTCCTGAACGACTTCCAGGGAAGGGAAGTGCCTCCCCGCCCAAGGAAGTAAAAAGGAGGGGGAGCCTTCCTGGCATGTTCCTTACCTGTAAAGAGGGCATGGTAGTGGAGACCCCTCTCCTTGTCTTGATGGGCGCAGACATCAAATAAGTAGGCTTTGACGGGGCCATCGATGAAGTCAGCAGCAAAATCAAAGAGAACCACCCCCATCATGGTGATTGAAATGGCCCAGAGCAGCTTCCTCTTTGGGTCGGCAATCAAAGCTTAAAAGAGAAATAAACATTAGTCCCCAAAATCCTGCCCTAGAGTGAGCCACATTTTAAATTTCTGCCATTAAAATAATTTTTCTTGCTTACATTTTCTTTCATTTTGCCTAATGAAAAATAGCTTCCTCCCAGCCCTGGTTTACAAAGCTATGCATTCTAAACTCCAGAATCCAGAAAAGGCAAATCTGTAGAGCCTCTAGAAGGGAGGTCAGTGATTGCCTCAGGCCACTTAGGAAAGGAGGCGGGAAATGTCTGCTAATGAGTAAGGGTTAAGTTTTTGCAGTGATAATAATGTTCTCAAATTTAGTTGTGGCAATGGTTACACAATTCTGTGGATGTACTGAAAATCACTCCGCTAATGAAGCACTTTAAGCAAGTGTGTTGCATTATACGCAAATTTTAAATTAAGAAGGTTGTTTAAAACTTATGCATGCTGATTGTAAACAATCCCAGTAATATAGAAAGACTTAAAACTCATGGCTGAAAAAAAACAACCCAAAAAACTCATGGCTGCCAAGTAGGAACCAATTCACAGCTGACCCTCTGCCAGGTGTCTAAGGCTGTAAATTGCACTGGAGTAGATTTCCCATCTTTCACCTGTGGAGCAATTGGTGGATTCAAACCAAAAGAGGTTTGGCCTTTGAGTTACCAGTACAACTGCCTGTGGACGAAGCCACCAGAGCGCCTAAGGTGCCGTGAGACTTGAACTCGGATTGCTGGATGCAGAGTCCAGAGAGCTCACTGTTACTATATAAGGAGAAATACTTCAAATTTTATCTTCCAGTGAAGGTCAAACTTAGAGACATCTCTATGCTCTTATACACATTCCGATATAGGTACAGAATTGTACTCTAAGCAGGCCTTCTCAAACTTGAACATACTTCAATATTACTTGCTGGATTGTGGGCTCCATGCTCTGACATTCTGATTCAGTAAGTCTCAGGTAAAGCCTGAAAATTTGCATCTCTTAACATGCCCCGGGATGGTGCTGTTCCATAACCAACTTTCTTGATATCTTTTTATTCAATATCAAGTACTACTGAACAATTTTTAACAGATAAAAAGTATTCATTCTACTGTTGTCTAATGATCCACTCATATAAACTATTAAGGGAAAATAGAAGTTCCCCTGATTTCCAGGTGGTGCAGATGGTTAATACACTTAATTACTCAATTGCTGGTCAAAAGCTGAAGGTCATCCACAGGTGATCTACTTCCAGAAGATCAGCCATGGAAAAGCCTTAAGGAGCACAATTCTACTCAGATACTAATAATGTCACCACACGTTCCAGTCAACTCAGTACCAACTTTCACTTCTTGCCTCCAGTCCTGCTTTTGGGGTGTATGTGAGTGTATGGATTCTTCGGGAAACAACTAGCCATTCGCGTGTTTATGCTTTCTTCTTAATTTCCATAAATAATATCTGATTGTCCTGCCTTGTAATCAACCATCCCAGCAGCCTGAGAGTCAACAGCATAAAAATGTGGACTATTTATAAGTTTAGCCATCTTTCTCTCAATGCAACATCTAATGTAGTACCATCAATTACTGACTGATTGATGGCTGATTAATGTCTAGGAAAAAAGTGCTTTACCATCCACTTTGATTTTGTTCAGAATTTTCCATGCAAATTTGTTCCCAGGAGCTGACAGGCTGATGCCCTGTGCTCATTGAAAGGCTCTCTGTGATGCTGTGCACACAGGATTAACTCTTCCTTGGACAAGGAGATGCTTCATTATACATATTTACAGAGTCATCTGGCTGCTGGTCAATCCATCACGTATTGATAAAGCTCAAAAACAAAGCTTTCAATTTAAAAATGATTTTTAAAACTTCATTTGATAACCGTTTTTAAAATTTAATCATAATCTTTAAATCTCTCTAATAATAAAAACCTGAGACCTCCAGAAGCAAAGGCTCTCCCACCACAGAATCTGAGCTACTGAATGCAGGAGGGTGGGTGCAAGCTGAAGCAGGTCTTATTCCTAAACAAGGTCTCCGACAAGAGAATGCACCTTCTCTCCTAGTGAGACACCGAACAGGGCATTGTCCCTTCCTCATCCACCTTGTCTGTCCGCTTACCTGATACAACAGCATCCCCGTTGAGGTACAAGGCCATGCCCAGGAGCATCATAATGGCCAGAGCGAGGATGTAGGGTCTGCGGCGGCCCCACCTGGACCGGCAGTGGTCGCTGACCGAGCCGACCACGGGCTGCAGCAGGAAGCCCAGGATGGGGCTGAGGAGCCACACCATGCTGTACAGGCTCTTGGGCAGCCCCACGCTGAGCAGAACTGGGGTCACATAGGCCGCTTCCACTGCGTAGCAGAACTCCCGGCCGAACATGGCCATACTGTGCATGACCAATCTGCCCGTGGGTCTTCGGGGTGGCTTCACAGAGTCACAGGGGCCATCCTCAACCAGAGATGTATAGGTGTCAATGCCACCCTGGTTACTGTTGCCCCCCATGGCCGTAGAGGAAGCAACTCCTGCGTGGTGTGGTCCCCAGGTCTGCGCTCCCAGCTGGATTTGACAAGGCGCCCGGCTGAGCAGCAGCCTGGGGGATGGTCAGGCCCCGGGGAGGGGCCCAGATTCTTTATGCTTCCAAGATCACAAGTTATGACGAGAGAGGGAAGGGGGGGTGGGGTGAGAAGCATGACAGAGATTAGCTGGCCCAGCCTTCGCCTCCTGAGTTTCCTCAAGGGCTCTCCCTTTGCAGTCGTTTCTCTCTCACACCGTCTCACACTCCCAGACACACACAGACCTGCAAAGCAGTAAAGCCCTACTGCATAAGTCAAAATAGGAATCGTATCTTTTGACACCTTTCTTATGATATAATGTCTTTTTCTGACCACAAGTTTTCTAAGTGCCATCGAGTCCAATGGAGTATGACTCATAGCGATCTATGACCGACCAGAATCCTGCCCTATCTTGTGCCATCTTCATCAACTCTGACATGCATTGTTACAGGCACTGTGTCAATCTATCTTGTTGGGAGACTTCCTTTCTTTTGCTGACACTCCTTTTTTTTTTTTCAAGCATGATATATATCCCTTTCCAAGAAATAGCCTCTCTTAACAACATGTCCAAAGTAGGAGAGATGACGTTTTATCCTCCTTGTCCAAGGAGTGCTCTGGCTCTTCTTTCTCCAAGACATATTTCTTCTTTTGACAGTCTGTGGGATAGTCAGTACTCTTCTCCAACACTCTAACTCAAAGGCTTCTTCTTGCAAAACAATGTTATTGTTCCTGCCAGGCTGGGTTCAACAAGTGTATGGAAAGGGAAAGAGAAGAGCAGAAAGTGTAACTTTCTGACCTTGCTCAAAATACCACATCTTACTGTCCTCAAGTGATATGCCACTCATAGGATTCCTTGTTCAAAGAGTAGACAAGCCCCTTAGAATTTCTAAGGCTATCTTTTTTTTATTTTTATTTTTTATTTTT